ACCAGTCACAAGTAACAGTGTGAACAATGACAATGGAATGCTTTGGTTGCAGTCCATGAATAGCTTGTGAGTTGAATTCAGACTGGAGGTCTTGTGCTGGTCTTGTGTGGGTCATAAGTGGTCTTGACCACAACACTGGATGTTTTTACAGTACTTTCGAGAAATTTGATTCAAAAGTATCTTCTGGACTCACTTGGATCTCCAAACAAGACTTCGGCAGCCTTGTAGTAGTAGCCGTCAGCTGACTTTGGTTTATTAATTGAACAAAGTTGTAAACCATGAACCACCTGCATTCCAAACATCTGAGTGTTGTGGGGCTTATACAGCTCGGACTTGATCCTACGAACACCTTTCTTGCGAAGACTTGGCGCTCGAGACAACTTCATTACAGTCAAGTGGGGCTTGAAACCACGCTCCCCGGTTGAAACCAACTGGTACTCTGAGAAACATTTCTCTACTGTGTCTGTTGGTTTAAATTATGGGAAAAAGGTATAAAATCAATGAAAATGAGATCAGATTTGAGAGATTTACTGAGAAAACTGAACCAAATAAATATAAGACTGTTAAAGATATGGCTTTATTTGACAGGATGTCTAACTTTACAAATTCAAATCATCTTGATGCAACGATTTCAAAAGCTCTGCTTCAGTTTTCAAGATGCAAGCAGATTTTCTTCCTCTAAATCTTACACAAGAAGTCTTGAGCGATAAGAAGAGTTGGTAGAGTTCATTAGATTTGTGTTAAGCCCTTGTGTGACATTTACTCTCCACTTGATTTCCTGTTGACTGTCATGTTCTCTCAAGCTGAGCTCCATAGGGACCTGGCTGAATGCTAAGTTCAGTCATGACATCTTCACATTCATCAGAAATTCTAAGTGCTAGCCATCAATCTGCCTGTATGTTCCATTGGTGTCTGTCATCTTAATCCAATTACACCTTCCTATTTTCTCTCTCAGGCTTACTCAGTTCATAACCTTGCCTCCCTCAGGAAAACCGTTCATTCTCACCTCATTTCCTTGACATGATTAAGTTCCCAACACTTTTAACTGCTCCAAGGCTACAGAATGTTCCCACACCCTATTTTTCTCACTTTAATCTGCCATCTTTGTCATTTCCTATGACACTATGGTATCTTCTGAAATACACTACTGCTTCTTAATTTTTCTTTCTTTACCTGCTATCTCATAAAGGCTCTCCAAGATGTTATCCTGATCCTTAATCTTAGCAAACATGACTTGGTTGTTGAAATGGCCCAGTCCTCCAAACAAGATACTCAGTTTCTCCTTCATGAAGCGTGGACTCAGAATTCGATGACACTCATTCAAGGCTATCTTAGCTCTGACAAGCAAACAAGAAATTTAATGAGGAGATTCTTGCAAAAGACTTTTTGAAACATAAGGGAATAAGTCTGACTTTTATTAGTGCAAGAAAGGTGGCAGTCAAGATAGACAAACAAGATGTGCTGAAAAACTTTTCCAGTAATTTTAGGATGCTGCCACAAATGATAAGTTTTTCACACGTACTATAAGGATTTGCCTTCCCCTTCAAAACTCTTGAGATACATCAAGTTAAGGAAAAATAGAAAAGACAAGGTTTGCACCAACTATCAGCAATATGTTGGGATCTGTGCTTATCCTTTCATGTCAAAGCACCACAGCGCCTTCAACCATCACTGCACAAAGCAAACAACCCAGTAAGAGTTTAGATGAAGAACGTGTCCATGTGTAACCTGCACATCATTGTCAAACAACTCTGACATACATGAGTTGTACCAACCTTTCAACATCCTCCTCAGTTGCTAGGTGCATCACCATGATGGTTAGATGCAGCGTTGCTATAGGAACCATTGCATCCTTCAACTTTTCATCTCCAGACAGGACCGTCTGCTGGACATCTCTCAAGGCCTCATGGATCTACATCAAAAACATTTTTAACAGATTTACAATATTTATAATTAGCAACAGGAAGGTAAATAAAAACTGATTCAAGCATGAGCTACACGTCGCTCGTATCCAAAGGTCAAATAGAATCGTTAAGGTAAGTCAAAGAGTTGTGAGAAGGCCTCCTCTAGAATACCTGAGGATTGGAAACCTGAACTGCTACAAAGAAGTTAGGAGCTAGTCTCTTTGTCTTCTTCTCAGAGCCTTCATCTCCACCTCCTGCCAAGGATTCCTCGACCTTCTCAGACCCTTTCCTCTTTCTCTTCTTGACCTTGACTCCTTTCAAGCTTCTGTCTTTAGAGGCATCTTGTGCTAGGTGGGGGAAAATGAGGATTCAACACAAATAACTTCTAATTACAAATGCAAAGTCCCACAATTCCTGGCACAAGAATTTCCTTCAACCATTCCTTCCCATTCCCTCCCCACAACTGATCACCATACCTCTTGTAGCATCTCCAAGTGACCTTGACCTTTCAAGACTATGTCGCAGGAGGCTAGGGTCAATGCCAAGCTCTTCATCTATTAAGAAAAGATACGATATACAGCTAAATAGTTGGTTAACTCTTTAGTTGTAGAGGTTTGCTCTGTCCATTGTCAGTAGTCTCCTGATCACAAATGAAGCTTACTGTCCGAAACTTTGAGTAACTCAGATTATTTTCAGAATCACACATACTCGTAAAAGAGCTATCCTTGCCCGGCGCTACCACAAACCTCTACAACTAACTAACTACTTTCACCATGTAAAGCTTTACAGCTCATCTGGTTAACTCTTGGTTTGTACTAATATTTGCTTGCTTTGATTTCAATGCCAAAATTCTTGTCACTTTGAAACTTTTTCATGAACCATTATGAATAGAAAGCTAACTTTTTTCAAACCCTTTTTAATTAAAGTCTGATTTCCAAGAAAATGGAAAGGCTTCATAAACTTTGGGTAAATTCACATGCCAAACAGGCCAAGATCTTACCTTCAGTTGTTAATGGCGATTTAGTTACATGCTGTGAATAATCCTCACACATGCTAGAGTCCGACTCAGTGGACTGTTTAGTTGACGTCATGTTAACAGAAATTGAGTTTGCCTCAAATATATCAAAGCCACCCACACTAGTTAAGGTTAGCTTTACATCACCAGTAGCTTCTATGGTCACAAGTTCAGATGCAGTTCGCATGCTGTTTGTGTCAGTACCATCAGCTTGTTGATCCAGACTTGTGCTGGGTGGGCTTGGTGATGCCCGACGAGGTATCTTAGCGTGGAAGGATGCTGTCCCCGTGGCAGGGTTCAAGGTGATGGAACATCCATCCTCATCAATGAAGCTCTCGCTCCAGTCATATTTAAGGCACACTGCATCCTTTGCAGTATTATGCCGAGTGTTGTGTGCGGAGTCAGAGCTAGTGTGCCTGCTGGATGCATGTTTGCGTTTAGCTGCTTTCTTGTTAACTCTGCTAGCCATGCTTGCATCCAAGTTAATACAGAAGTCAACTGGTTTAACCAAGTTATAACCCAGGTTACTGTTTTCCTGGTTTATACATGTAGATAGCAGTATCACTCGCCTCAAACTGCTGATGCCTTTTTTGTTTTCCAAATTTTCTTGGTTAATTAGATGGCATGTACATGTGGTTTCCTCACTTCTTCTGAAGGCTGACAAGTTAACTGGTTTAAACCAGTTTAGAAAAGAGTTGGTGATTGGATTAATGAATTTGTGCCCCTGGTCAACGAGCACAGACAGCAGATGATAGTTAGGGCCCTTACAATAAGGGTAGACTCTGCTCCAGACATTAATCATGCAGACGCATTTACTGTATATATTTTTCTACAAGGTTGTTAATGGTTAAGTCTGCTACAAGCCCAGTTGATGACATGCGTGGATTAAATAAGAGTTTTGATGGTGACCTGACAAGTCAGGAAACAACCACAGGACATACGAACGCATAAAGCAGACTCAAGAAAGCACAGGCAAAATGTCAGGCATAGGAAAGCATTCCACAACTCACACAGGCTGATGTCTGTCAAGTCAGCTAAAGATCGGCTGAATGTTGAATCAGGCGAGTCGAAATCATGTGGGGCAAGGGCATACAGGTCAATATCACCCAGACGATCCTGGTAACCAGATTCATAGGTGTCATTCAGGAAATCCTCATCAAGGTCCTCCTCAGATATTCCATTGGAGGTTTCTTCACTCTCACCATCTCTGGAAGGGGTGTCTGTGGGACTGGAAGATGAGTCCTTGTCACGGGTCAAAGCCAGGTCAGCTAACAAGAAGTCCTTGTTCTCGCTAGGACTGTTGATTCCTGTGGAGAACAAAGCGCCCTCATTCAACTCACTGGTCAGCACAAGAAGTTCCTTGTTCAGCCGGAGAGACTTGGAGAGATGGTCAGAAGAGGTGAAAGTCTTAAAAGATGCACCTCCTTGGGGGAAACGACAAACCTGGATTGCGCCAAGAGGAATATGGCCACGAGAGAGAGGAGCTTTGGTGACAACACCGATCTGTAAGACATAAGGATAGAAAGAGAAAAACAAGATTTGTGACAATGTTCTTTAATAAACAAATTCAGCAATTCTGCTTTACAGTTTCTAAAAATGTACACTTCAGAAAGTACCGTATCAGGTAGTACTGATGCCATGCAGAAGATCAAGAAAGGTTAGCTACATGCTTAATGTATTTGACAACGGCACAGAAACAGCATATGTATCTGCAAAAGGAAGACATGTACATGCAGAGAAAGGTGCATGCAAATTTCTATGGACAATTTTTACCGTACAAAAGGAAGTAACACAATTGAACACCAGCAGATTAAACAAACCATCAATGCACAAGAATACACAATGTCTGTTTACCTGTGAATGGTCCAAACTCCTAGGAAGAATAAAAGTATGATGCGTGCAAACAAAACAGCCACGAAACGTGTTAATGATCGATGAGTGAACCACATGTCCAATGTCAAGTTATTGCCAGTTGTTAATTGTTCTTAACAATCCAAGGTTGATGGGATTAAGTGGTACTGCATTTTTAACCCTCAAGGCCTCAAATCCTCTGAAATTGAACATGTTTTTGAAAACAAACCTGGATCCAGAACAGAAGACATAAGGTACAGTTACCCAGTGATTGATGTTCTAATTTTGTTGGAATGCAATTCTGTTTCTTCGCAAAGGAGCCATTAGTTATTGGCAGTGTTTGTTTCACACGAATCTGGATCACGATAAGTGATCTGTCAATTTACAGACACCAAAACTCACCTAATGGATGGTGCAAACCAGTGTTACCATCACTGATCAAAATCCAGATCCGTGCGAAACAAACAGGTCCACAAAGTACTGTACACATGTATTACATGACTGCAGAAATACGATGGTTCAAAGCAATCAGGAACCATGAATAGACACTGAATATCAGAAAGGTGAGCATGTGGCCTAGTGGTTAGGGTTTCTACCTTCTGATTATGAGGTTGGGGGGTCTAAATCCAGCTGGTGGCAGCTACATGTATGTGCCTCTTTCCACCCAGGAGTAGATGGGTAACTGTGGGGGCAGATGTGGTTAGGGTTAGCCATTTGCGTCAAAATGGCAGGATAAAGTTACTATACTCCCAAGGGCGCTGAATTGGTTTCAGGAATGTTCAGATGTTGGGGGATCAATGTGCAGGGATAATAACAACAACATGCCTTGATCACCTTCATCGTGAACACCTGTATGTTTCGCGCTTAATAAAATGTGACCACTATTATAACTGGCCAACAATATTTTGATAGAAATATCAGTAGATATGACAGGTATGACTAGAAATGAGACAGAGATATACTCACCATGGGAAAGACACCTTCTGTTAGAATGTAATCCACAGTTTCTACTGCTTCTTCTTCTTCTTCTTTAGGTCTTAGATCATAGTCATCCCATTCAAGTTCTGCATCATGCAATGTTGGACCACCACCATGATGTAAGTGAGAGCTCCTCTGTCGAGTGGTCTGCTTTCCTGTTGGTTTCTCTGAACTAAATTCGTAATGGTCCCATTCTAAATCAAAGTCCGGTGGATGCGGTCGATAATTGTTATGGGCATGGTTACTGTAACCTTGACTGCTGTGGATGCTATGGTGATGATTGCTGTGGTTGTTATGGTAACCACCACGCCCAGTGTTGCTACCACCTCGGCCACGCCGGTTGCCGTAGTTATTATAGGGGCGGGGTGGTTTCGGGACGGAATAGACAGAGACAGAGTTGTTGTAGTTGCTGTGGGCAGGGCTTGGTCGTGGGGGAGGACTGCCGTAGTGGTTCTGATGGTAACCTCGGTGTGGACTCTGGTATCCCCCAGAGTGATGGGATGACTCACCTGCTGAGCGGTGAGGAGGAACTTGGACTTGATGATGGTGATGAGTGTGGTGATGGGGATTGGGATGGTACATGCGACCGTACGCCTGAGACATGGGGACAGTAGCTCAGGGATGCTAGGAAGGGGAGGACAGATGGTTGGATGACCAGATGAATGGACGCAGAATGACTGGTCATTGCTTAGTTGATACTTATCCAGTTACCGGCATCTGCAGAAAGATCAAATAGAATGAGACAAGATTTCAGTTTACAACAACCTGTAACCTGTAACTGACATCCAGCTTTTATAAAGTTACTCCAAACTTCACATAATTTGTCTTGGTTGCTTGAAACCTTTCTTATCTTTGACCGTATTATGGACAATTACAAAGGCAGGTGATGGCACCTTGCAAGAACCTTTTACTTATTTGCATGTATCACTACACGACTTTCTACATAATTTGACAATGTTCCATTCTGCTCCATCTGTAATGTTATGAAATTATTTTTACCACTGCACTCGTACACAATGAATTGTATAATACCTAAGTGTTAAAATTTGTACAGCAAAACAGAACAAGGATACCATTTACATGTACATCACCAAACACAACGGCTACTGTATGAACACACTGGCCTGTCGGGCGAGTTCCTTCAACTGACTGGAAACAGATGTTTAGGAAAAAACGACAAATTACTTCAAAACCAACACGAACTCCCCTCGGCATCACAACAGAATCCAAAACTTGAAGGGAAGTGAGCCTTTCAATCGGTAAATCTGCTTTCCGCCCCTGAATGCCCAATACAAATATCCTTCAATTTCCTTGGTTTCATGGGGCCATTTCGGCAGGTCTTGTTAATAGATGGCAGATGTCGACAGGGTAAGATTGATACCTGACTAGGGCTCCCTCTGGGGTTAGGAATCAGCCAAGTCATCTAGGGTACCGGTACATTGAGTGAACTGATACCTGGATCCTATCAATGTGTGTACATGTACATTGTGCGTGTGGTTTCCAGGGTACTAAGAGTAGGAACACTGACAGTCTCAGGCGGTGATGGACCATTTCCTGTCGCGGATAACTTTGTACGATTGCAGTATCAAGATGTAACTTAAGTACTGCTCCAAAACTGGTAAACACAGGCACTCTGAACAAGCACATCTGGACCTACATCATTAAAAATATTCTGAACAGCTACACGTAGTTTGCACAGAAAAACAGGCAGCAAACTGTCCCTTTTGAAATTTAAACTGAAAAACTTACAAATCTACAAATCTACCGGTACATGTGTACACTACTTGAAGAGATCCATCAAAAAGTCAGCGGAATAAGGTTGGCCATGTACAGGAAGTTTGGCAGGTTATTACTAATACTTCTCAGATGGCAGTTTGAATGACCCGGCCAAGATTAACCACTCGTTTTCTTAGAATTACCCTTCTTGGGGGTTATTATTTATTTTTATTAATTAATTCTTAATCTTTTTCAAAAGTTAAGTTCTTGTGTAATTTCCTTTACTCAATTTCCTTTAATTAAATCACATTAATCAGCTAACTTTCAGGATGTTGATTTTCATCTCCAACTTTCAATTTACAAATGCACCCTCCCTGAAACTCTAAATATTGCCCTACATGTACATGGTTTTGATGAAATTTCAGATGCTTCATGCTCCGAGCTTCAAGATGCGCTAAAAATCAGCTTTCGATTTGTGAAATCTACCAGAATAGCTAACCCAGCATGCCATGGTATGGAACATTTCTGCACAAACGGATAGGGTATAAGTTACCAAAACTCCTCAACAATAATTCCGCGAAAAAAGGTGAAGCTTTCTAGACATTTTACTCACTAAAAACAGGCATTTTGTTGTTGTTGTTGTTGTTGTTGTTCATTCAAACACAAATAAAGTGTGATTGGGGGATGTTTTTGGCAACTGTTCAGCAACATGTACATGTACTTGTGAACTTCATACTACCGGTAATTAAAATTGATTTTGTTAGGGCTAGGGTTAATTTGCTTCTCTACTGGGTGAAAGGTGTTGACATTTTCCCATAAATTTGTGAAAAAATGTGTGAATATTTTCCCACCTGTGAAAATTTTTCCCACCTGTGAAAAAAGGTGTGAAAATTTTCCCACTGAGGGGAAAATTTTTCAAAATTTGTGAAATGAATAGGCCAATTCATTTTCATAGATGGGAAAGTGTATAAAAATTGTCCCACTTTTGAGGTTACCGTAACTTTCAATTGCACTGTACTGTACATGTACATTATACTTTGACTGTTAATATGATTACGATTCAGCTTAAGCACACAAGCACGAGTGGAACACGGAATAATGTAGTGTGTCTGTGTCCCATAAACATCCCACGTTTGAATTTCAAGTAACCTTTGCAGCTGTGCCTTTTTGCTTTAAGTGTAAAACAGTGCAATGCATGGGCTTAAAATATCGCATCATGCAGGGTTTGATATGAACCACACAACACAGTTATACATGTATGTCACACCGTTTGTTGCCATGGATCGACCAATCAGAATTCAAGTCTGTTTTGAAGATAAAGGTGCATATGTACAATGTATGCATGTACTGATACCAGTATGCCCTTACCAATGTGCAGGAGCAACAGACCCCGAGCTGGACTAAGAAAGGGTACAATTTTCCAAGCAACAAAGGCTCGTCTGGTACCTGTATGATAATACATTGTAACTACGCATCGCTGATTCATGAAATACTATGAAACATAAGGATTGCAACCAACAAAAGGAACACTTTCGACCAACATGGCTCTTTTGAAATGATGCGCAAGAGGAAGCTTCTGCTCAGGGAAGATACCCCGGTAGAGTCCAACAGGAAGACGTCTAACTCTGGTCAGTCAGTCATTGGTGAAATCACGTTATTATTCCTCTATCACGGATCCATTTCTTGCTACTCTCTCAATTTGGCACAATTATTTCCACGTCACCAGTACCCCGTGGTCTGGTTCCACACAGTCTGAGTTGTGTATTCAAGGAAGTGGCTACCCGGTAGTTAACCATACTCGGACATGCTCTTGAATAAGCAGAAACGGTTAAGTTCAGATGCAAACAATAGTTCCATCAGCAGTCAATTGCTTTTTAACAACGTGCACATGCAATTCAGTTACACTCGAATGACCCTACTCGTAGTTGGTCAATATATTAAAATCTCATTCTTACATTTCACAGTTGGCTGCGACTCTCGCAGCATACATGGTCAATGAAATCTCGTACAATTACTTTCATGTGAATGGTTCCCATTGTAAACGAAATCGTCTATTGATAAGTAGCGGTGCAACCATACCAGGACCCCTGGGCCTGGTCCCAAATGGTCGACTACTCGGACTAGACAGTCCAAACCATTTGTCGTTCGGGCAGTGTTAGTCGAACTATAGTTTACTATTGTTGTCACTTGAACCTGCCCCACATGAACCGGTACATGTAGGCTTAGTCTGTACCAAGACTAGCATGCAGCAGCATTACATGTACATGTACATTGTAGATGGACTGGGTCCGTGACCAGATCAGGCCAACAATGTACGTACAATTAACAGCATGAGTATGCAGACTTGGTTATTCTTAGGGACCCGTCTCCATCCTAAGTAAATTTCCTGTTGTAGGACATGAATGAGATGATATTTTTCAGGTCGCTTTTTGACAGGATTAATTTATAGGCAAGTTGCAGTGTTTCAATCAATTCCCTAGCTCTCGACCATAGCAGCCATGGACCTTTTGATATTTAAATCACGGAGGAAGGAAAAGACAAGAACCCACACACGAGGCACCTGTAAATTAAAGTGCTCTTGGCAGGTTGGATTAGGGAAAGGTAATAGAGGGCTTGTCTCTACACATGGGGGTGATTCCAGAAATTAGGGTTACATTTTTTTTCGTGTCCCTGTCACATCTGACATGATTTTTTAAGTTCAGAATTTTCTAATTTCCAAGAGTGAGGAATTAATCCAAATTAACTGCCAAACAAATAGTAATACATGTACATGTAGTTTGAAATCAATTCCGGTGATATTTCCATGTCAAATAACAAAGGTCAGATGTAACAGGGACACCAAAAAGTCACACTTTTGGACACCTAATTTCTGGAATTAACCATTCCGGTATGTAATCATGGAAAACCCCAAATCCAAGATTTTGACAAATCTTTCAGAGCCAATAATGACTTTAATTAAGGAATCCCATCAACATTCATGAAACTGTTTAGCTTCTTTACAGGCCCACCAACTCTACATCTACATGCACAATCCAATCAACTCAAATTGAAAAAAAAAACTTTTTGATTTGTGACAATGGAAACTGTGCGGTGTTTGCTGTAAAACACCTAAAACAGCATGAGGGGAATAAACTAGAACACAATACCATACCGGTAAGTACTTGTACAACACAGAAGGTTAAAATGATTCAAGAGCTAAGCAGCTATCAATTAACAATCACCTGTCCAGTGAGCAGCAGTGAATCACCTTCCCAGAGGCAACAACACTGGATCAGTGTACAGCTTCATGTACATACTACATGTACATGTATGTACCTATTTTGAATTGCCAATAAGTTGGTGTTATCTGAAATAACTTATTATATTATTTCACATGACTTGATTACTGAACACCTGACTTATTGACTTCTACCAGTATCACTTGCGGTCCCATGCCAATTATGTCCTGGCCATTATTTTAATTTCTGAACACTTCTAAAAATAGCATGACCTGATTGCAGTACAAGTGTGCTCATGATTTACCCAGATGATCCAGGCAATCACACAGATTTGCTGAGCAGCTATAAATTTATTTGAGATAATGAAAAAAAAAGAGAAAATTATATTTTCGGGTAATTTTCCATTGAAGTACATGCACAAGTATACACATGTACACATGAATGATCATACACTTCCTACATCCAAACCACAACAACTTCATCCATTCAACTGACCATGAATTTCTACAAACTTTCTGTGACCTTTTCCAAGGAAGAAACTTGAATGAATTTGATTAAACCAGACCCACTTACCATACCATTCCTACCAGTACAAGTACCGGGGGTATGTATTCTTGGCCATTCCACCGCTCCAAAGGTTCCTCTCCATCAAGCATCCCAGATTTTCTGAGTAAACTACCGTATCTGAGCGACAGCTGACAACTTACTGTAAGGGAGGGGGAAATTAGCCCCTCCCCTAGGGAAGAATGTTTGGCCATGCCATAGGGTACTGACTGTCAATAT